CCCCCCCCCCCCCCCCCCCCCCAGCCCCTCTGTTTCATTGTTTATGACTTCTGGTGTTTTCTTCAGGGTGCAAGTATGTGAGTAAGGCAGCAGCAAAGACCCAGGTTGAATATGACTACGATGGACCTTTAATGAAAACTGTAGTCCCCGGGCCCCGATCACAGGTAACACACACAAATATGAGCACATTCTCCTTTCCTCATTAACTTATATTGAGTATTAAAAGTCTTTATTTTTTGTTTCATTTCTAGGAGCTGACAAAACAACTAGGAGACATCCAGGTGAGCTGAGAGCTGGAAATCTGTTAAAACTACAGAAGTTTTGTCATTTATCACGGGGATCCATACCATGAAGACCCGCGATAAGTGAAAAATTGTGAAGTAGGAATACTAGTACAAGTAGTAAGTAGTAGTTTACTTATATATATATATATATATACACACACACAGTAAATATACGTAAAGAGTGATGTGACATCAAAAGAGACCTATTGACCATATTCTGTACCACAGACTGTACCCAGGGGAGGCCACACCTAGTCTGTATGGTTTACCTACAATCCACAAACAAGGTGTACCTTTAAGACCAATTGTTAGAATGATTAACTCTGTCACTTACAATGTTTCCAAATATCTGGCGTCTGTACTCATCCTTTTAGTTGGCAGCTCAGAACATCACATACAGAACACCATGGACTTTGTGGATAAGGTGAGGGATGTCATCATGGAGACTGATGAAACAATGGTAGATGAAGCTTTTGTCCTTGGTTACCCATGATCCAGGAGAAATTTGATAGTCGGCCATCTCAGAGGCCAGCAGGGAATCAGTTTCAGATAAGCTTTGATTGTTGATTTTTCTTAAGGCAGACAGATTTTTTTCCTTCAGCCTTGAGTCCATCTGGATGTTCTGGTTCCAAAATAGCCTAATTGTGGGAATCCATTCTACTGATCCATGCTATAAGTCTCCTTCAAGGTCAATCCCACCATGCTGACGAGCCCTAGAAGCCGCAGGTGGCCTGCAATTCTCATAAATCGCCTCTACCTTACGGTTTAGCTCGTAAATCAGCTGACTTAGAGTTCCTACAGCACGAACCAAACTTCACACCGACTTGGAAGCTTTGTCATGGCTGAAACAGTTTTGTCTCTATCATTTTCTCATTCACTCCTCAGTCTGTCTCTAAAGCCTAATCATCCATACCAGTAGCAATTAGTATTATCCCAGGTGTACTCATCATTTCTTTCTCCTTCATCCTTACTTAAACCTATCTTCTTCACTACTCCAGCATCTGATCATTGTTCTGTTTACACATAGACAACTCAGTCTCCTCCGTCATGTTTTGTACCTGTTCGCTCTCTGATCTGTATCCGTCCTGTTTTGTCTACCTGATCCCGTTTTGTAAGTTTTGCTTCCACGCCAGCCTTTTTAGGCCCGAGCAGCGAAGCGCTGCGAAGGCCTATTGTAATCGCTCTGTTCAGGCCCGAGCTGCAATTTTTTCCACCAAATGAACTGGCGTTTTGGGGGCCGTAACATATCCCAAAAGTCACCAAATTTGGCGGACGCATCACGACTGGTGAAAAATTACGTATTTTAAGGGCATGGCAAAAATCGCAACAGAAACGGATCAAGAGCACCACCTACAAATTTTCAAAATACCCTCTGGATTAACCCAAAGCCCCCAGTATACTGTCACGTACATCCATACGCAGAGGTACGAGCGTACCCCCCAGGGCATGTCCGTGCAAAGCTCAAATTTTTACGACCGCATACGCGTATGCGGTGTCGCACAATAAACTGCCCAGCGACGGACTGTTTTGTATGCAACACCAATGTATTAAATTCTCCTTCTTCATCTCTGATCTTACCTTTTCTTTTGTTTTTTTGCCAAGAGGCAGTGATCTCTTCCTCCTCCGTTGATGCCATGACTGAAATGGTGACAAATGAAGGAATTTGTCACGAGCGAATTAAACTCAGGTCCAGCATGGCTGCGGGAGGGTCTGGAGATTTCCTGGTGGGCTGGTCTGATGTGTGGGCTGTAGAGCCAGCGCTCCCAGTTTTTTTTTATGTTTTAGATCTTTTTATTAACAACATATAAACACAGAACATCGCTGTGGCTGAGGCTGCCAGCGCTCGCTTTATTTCTTTTTTCCGACCTGTCAATCAATCCAGTAGGCGTGTCAGCCAATGACCAATCGGCGACCTATATTTGTCCCGAAGGTAAATGCCCCTTGACTGTGAAGCTGCTCTGCAGCTGCTCGGGGTGTATGCTGGAGTACAAAGTCTGAACCCTCTGCGTACAGTACACGGGTACGTACGAGTGAACGGACGTACGCGGCAGTATACTGGGGGCTTAAGTTTGTCATAGAAACATGAAATTTGGTACGCTTGTCCAATTCCCCAAGATGCACAGAAAACCCTCTAGCACCAATGTTGTACGATAAACAGGAAGGCGGCCATTTTGGAATGCCGGTCCAATTTTCACACCTTTTTGGCAGTTTAAAGCCTCCGCATTTGAATGAACTCCTCCTAGGGATTTCGCTCAATCGGTTTCAAACTTGACTATTTGGGTCAAAAGGCAAGGGGGATGTAAAATTATCTAAAAGGTTTGTTTCGGAGCATGCTGAAGGGGTGGGGCCAGACCTCAAAGTTTGACATCTTGCCATGAAAAACAAAACGCTAATAGCTCCTACAAGAAAACTGTCTGAGACATCAAACTTTCAGTGATTGATCCACATCCGGTCCCCTGCAAGACTGAATGGTCAAATCATGACATCACTTAAGCCACGCCCCCTGACAACAGGAAGTATAAAGTTTTACGTTGAACGATCCCTATCTGACCCGTTACCTGATCAGCATGACAGTGTGTCCAGTGACCGAAGACATGCTGGTGTAATTTGCTTTACAACACTGACAGTTTTGGGTGGAGCATGTGGGTGGCGTGGCGTGGCGAAGTAAGACATAACGCTGTCGCCATAGGGTTGACTCTAAATTCCACAGTTTTTAACCGTGGTGCACAAAAATTAGTATGATCGATCATTATCCACCCCTTGAACAGCAAGCCATGATAAGTGGCCAATAGCCTCCACAGTGCCCCCTAGACTATTTTAAAACCTCAGCCCCAAGCCATTTTTGGACCAATAATTCTGAAACTCAGTGAACATCTGTATCTTGTCAGGACCTATGAAAAAGTCGCTTGGAGCCATGGTCCAAACTCAACAAGAAGTCGGCCATTTTGGGTCAAAGGGTCAATTTTGGGCGTTTCTAATGGTGCATTTTAACAAACTCCTTCTAGGGATTTTGATGGAATGCCTTCAAGCTTGGTTAATATGCCCTTAACACATTGGGGAGTAAAAGCTATCAAAAGCTTGCATTTTCGTATATGTTAAAGGGGTGTGGCCAGGCCTCAAAGTTGAGATTAACACCATAAATTTCAAAACGCTACAACTTTCACATTGAAAGACCGAAACACACCAAACTTGGCATGAGTCATCCCTGTCCAATGCCCGACGATCCTATTTTGATGTCATCAAAGACCTGCCCCCTCGGAACAGGAAGTCTCTTTTTAGGCCCGAGCAGCGAAGCGCTGCGAAGGCCTATTGTAATTGCTCTGTTCAGGCCCGAGCTGCAATTTTTTCCGCCAAACGAATTGGCGTTTTGGGGGCCTTAACATATATCCAAAGTCACCATATTTGGCAGACGCATCACAACTGGTGAAAAATTAAATATTTAAAGGGCGTGGCAAAAATCACAACAGAAACGGATCAAGAGCACCACCTACTAATTTTCAAAATACCATCCGCATTAACATTAGTTTGTCGTAGAAACATGAAATTTGGTACGCTTGTCCAATTCCCCAAGATGCACAGAAAACCCTCTGGCACTAATGTTGTACGATAAACAGGAAGGTGGCCATTTTGGAATGCTGGCACAATTTTCACACCTTTTTGGAAGTTTACAGCCTGCGCATTTGAACGAACTAGGGATTTGGCTCACAGCCCTCCTTACACTGAACAGCATACACAATATTACACTGTTTGTGCCGGGGGACTGGATCTTTGGGATGAACCAGTCTTTGCCGTAATGTATTTTGGGGTTTAAAAGCCACTGCGACATTATGTTTAGAAAATAAACGTCTCGGTTTCTCAGATACTCGCGCAACATATGGAATGACCACTGGTCTGGGTCTGGGTTCCTCCTCCGGTAGACAGTTACACGACAGGGAGACAGAAAAGTGGGTGAAGAAATTATCTGACAGACAGCTCACCCAGCCGGAGACGGAGATTCTTGCCAGAGGACTGAACTTTGCAGTTGCACCAATAAGAATTCCTCTGGTGGAGATGATCACAGCCACTGAGTCAGCCATCCGCAACAACAAAATTAAAGAGTGTGTGTCACACACTCAGTCGTGGCATTGATGTCCTCTCCATGTGGCTGGCACAGTGCATCCCAGTCTGTAGCATCAAAACAAGCCACAAAAACATCATCATTCTCCCAGCAGACAAAGGAAGGTACACAGTTATTTTGAACCAGTAAGACTATCATGAGAAAGTTATGATACTCCTTAGTGACTTAACCACTTATGAGCTACTGAAAAGAGATCCAGGAAGTTGTTACAAGAAGTTGATAGATTGCCTAAAAATTATGGAGCAGGACAAGGCTATTGACCGTATTCTGTACCACAGACTGTACCCAGGGGAGGCCACACCTAGTCTGTATGGTTTACCTAAAATTCACAAACAAGATGTACCTTTAAGACCAATTGTCAGCATGATTAACTCGGTCACTTACAATGTTTCCAAATATCTGGCGTCTGTTCTCATCCCTTTAGTTGGCAGCTCAGAACACCACATACAGAACACCATGGACTTTGTGGATAAGGTGAGGGATGTCATCATGGAGACTGATGAAACAATGGTCTCTTTTGATATTCAATTCAATTCAATTCAAAAATACTTTATTAATCCCAGAGGGAAATTATATGATGTGGTAACTCATCATCCTGGTTTCATTAAAGAGTTGTTATAGATGCTGATGGCTGTGGGCAGGAAGGATCTCTTGTAGCGGTCTGTCCTACAACGGATTTGAAGAAGACTCTGACTGCAGACACTTTGTTGTTGTATGACAGTCTAATGAAGAGGATGCTGAGGGTTGTCTATAATGTTCTACATTTTATGAAGAATCCTTCTTTGAACAATCATCTCCAAAGGTTCTAGAGGAGTCCCCAGAACTGAGCCAGCCTTCTTTATGAGCTTGTTGATCTTTTTTAAGTCACTTGCTCTGGTGCTGCTACCCCAGCAGATGATGGCAAAAGAGATAGCACTCTCTACAACAGACTTATAGAAGATATGCAGCATCTTGCTGCAAACATTGAATGACTTCAGCTTCCTCAAGAAGTACAGTCTGCTCTGTCCCTTCTTGTAGACAGCTTCACTGTTGCATTTCCAGTCCAGTCTATTGTCCAGGTGAACTCCAAGGTATTTATACTTCTCCACCACCTCCACTTCTTCTCCCATGATGAAAATAGGGTTGGATCTGTTCCTGATTCTCCTGAAATCTACAATCATCTCCTTTGTTTTGTTCACATTCAAGATGAGATGATTGTTTCCACACCATGCCACAAAGCGGTCCACCAGTTCCCTGTACTCAGCTTCTTGTCCATCTCTGATACACCCGACTACTGCAGAGTCATCAGAATATTTCTGCAGATGACAGGAGTCTGTTTTGTACTGGAAATCTGAGGTGTACAGAGTGAAAAGGAATGGTGAGAGTACAGTCCCCTGTGGTGCTCCTGAGCTACTGACCACCTGGTTAGACACACAACCCTTCAGTCTCACAAACTGTGGTTTGTCCGTCAGGTAGTCTTTGATCCAGGCAATTGTTGAGGCCTCCACCTGAGTCTTCTGAAGTTTCTGACAAAGCAAATCAGGCTGGATTGTGTTAAATGCACTGGAGAAATCAAAGAACATGACTCTCACAGTGCTGTCTGCCTTTTCTAGATGACAGTGAGTTTGCTGAAGCAGGTGTATGATGGCATCTTCAACTCCAAGTCCACGCTGATAAGCAAACTGCAGTGGGTCCTGATATGTGCTTGTTTGTCTAGTCAGGTGGGTCAGCAGAAGTCTCTCTAGGACCTTCATGATGTGGAATGTCAGGGCAACAGGTCTATAGTCATTGAGGACTGATGGGTGCGTTTTCTTTGGCACTGGAACAAGACAGGATGTTTTCCACAACACTGGAACCTTCTCCTGGGTCAGGCTAAGGTTAAGAGGTGCTGCAGAACCCCACAGAGCTGCTCTGCACAGACCTTCAGGACTCTGGGACTGACACCGTCTGGACCTGCAGCCTTATTCCGGTTCAGTCTCTCCAGCTGCTTCCTCACCTGACTTCTGGAGACGCAGAGGGGGGAGGCAAAGGAGGTATCAGCATCTTCTGATTTAGTTGAAGACCAATATGTAGAAGAAGGGTCCATGACTGAGGTGGTAGATACAATATTTGAGGTGTGACAGGACAGCCTTGGGTCAATGGAGGGTGGTATGTATGTTTGGCTGTGAGCAAGAGAGGAGGATGCTGAGCTTGTTCCTGAACTGAACCTATTGAAGAATGTGTTCATTTCATTGGCTCTGTCCAGGCTTCCACCCTTCTGATCCTCCTTCTGCTTGAAGCCTGTGATCTGTTTCATCCCTGACCACACCTCTCTGATATTGTTCTGTTGGAGCTTGCTCTCCAGCTTCTTCTTGTACACCTCCTTGCTGTTTCTTATCTTGACTTTTAGTTGCTTCTGTGTGCTCTTCAATAATTCCCTGTCTCTCTCCCTGAAGGCTCTTTTTTTTCTGGTTTAGCAGTTCCTTCCGGTCAGTGATAATCCAGGGTTTGTTATTGGGGAAGCATCTCACTATTCTGGTGGGGATGGTGTTGTTTACACAGAAGTTTATATAGTCGGTCACACACTCAGTCATGGCATTGATGTCCTCTCCATGTGGCTGGCACAGTGCATCCCAGTCTGTAGCATCAAAACAACCCTGCAGGGCTTCTTCAGCTTCCATTGACCATTTTTCACTGTTCTCTTTATTACAGGTTGTCTCTGAACAAGGGGTTTATATTATGAGCAGAGAAACACAAGATTGTGATCTGATTTGCCAAGAGGAGGTCTTGCTTTAGCAATGTATGAATCCTTGACATTTGCATAAAACAAGTCCAGCGTTTTGTCTTCTCTGGTAGAGCAGCTGACAAACTGTTGGAATGTCAGAAGTGTAGCAGAGAGTGGGACATGATTAAAATCACCAGATATTGCCACAAACACATTAGGGTGTTGTGTCTGTAGCTTAGCAACCTCGGAGCTGATGACATCACACGCAGTCTCTGTAACAGCATTGGGTGGAATGTGAACAGTTGCCAAAATAACACTGGTGAACTCTCTTGCAAAATAATATGGACGACAACTTGGTGCTAACAGTTCAATATCTGGACTGCAGAGACGACACTTCACAGTAACATGTCCAGGATTACACCATCTGTTATTCACAAGCACTGCCAACCCACCTCCTTTGCTTTTGCCACTCCTTTAAATCTCTATCTGCTCGTATGACCAGAAAGTCTGGCAGAGAAACACTGGAGTCGGGGATATGATCCTGCAGCCATGTCTCAGTGAAAACACATAACAATGCATTCCTGTTACTCTGGATGGGTCCTTGTTAGGGCTTGAAGTTCATCCAACTTGTTTCCCAGCAATCTCACAATGCCCATCATGATCAATGGAAGAAATGGTTTGAACTTCATTCTTCTCTCTTTCTCTCTCTTCTTTGCTCCTGCTCAGCATCCATGACCCCTCCTTTTCATCTCATTTGGGATTTGGGGCTGTAGTTGAGATATTATTTGAGCTTTGGAGATGTTAATCAGCTGCTCCAGGTTGTAAAAAAACAACCTTGTTGTTATGGTTACGCATCATAACAAATGTCCAAAAGCAAAGATATTTCTGTAAAAATCCTTCCAGCTGCACAACATCCGACACCAGAGGAAATAATCATCCAAAAAAAGTGATTTATATCCAGAAAAAAGAGGAATTAAAGATTTCAAAAGTAATATCTCAGAATGAACGTAACAGAGCTACTCCAACATGCAGCCACCTTGAGCGGCGCAATTCAATTCAGCAATAACAGAGTTTACATCTTTTGTTTCATGTTAATCTACTGTAAAAAAATATAATAATAATAACCTTTGTAAAATACACCAGAATGCAGGAAATGGCATCTACTTTATTCTAAATTTTCTGAAGGAGGATCCCCCCCAAACCCACCACCACAAACGCAGCCGTTCTGTAATGTTCTTTATACAGAATGGAAGGTTATGTAACTGTAAAATAAATAAATGGACTTTACTTAAAGAAGTATTTGCATTTCATGTATTGTATTATTGCATTTGGCCAGCAGCCCTCTGATAGATTTTAAATTTGGCCCTCTCAGGGAAAAAGTCTGGGCACCCCTGCCTTGGCCACTCCCCAATAGAGTGCAGGGGCCACCCTTGCACTGGGTATTCCCAGTAGACCCAGCAACAGCAGAGGAAGAGGCATAAGCCCCTGCCATAGCCAAGACCCCTGGCACTGACCCCTCTGGTTGCCCAGAGCTTGACACATAGCCATCAAGCTTCAAGCGTTGTTCCAGTCACTGTCTGCTGTCTTTCCCAGTCTGGTTCCCTGCCAGAGAGGCCAGAGGCACAATCATACAACAACCCGCTACACCCGCACCCAATGCACCGCAGGCTGGATCCCCTAAGATTATAGAACCCCATTTTGCCAGGTTCTAAGGGCCGGTCCCTTGTCTGCTCATTTTAAAAAGCATTTGTAAACTTACCATCCACTGGGAGTGGACAGATAATATTGATGGCTAGTGTTGATGGTGCCCAAGTTTTAAGTGAGAGTTTCCTTCTCCTAGTCTGGTTGCCTACCAAACCTATCGAGCCCCACCTGCCCAGATGCTTTTGGTTTGCAACACCCTAATTGCCTTCCAGCTTATTGAGGCACACCCTTGTACACCAATAACATGGATCCTCAATCCACCACCCAGGGGATGTGCTTCTACGCAGTACAGCTTCAGCCTGAGGAACAGGTTTATAATAGTTTGTTGAAAGGTGTGTAATGCGTTGTATGTGGTACTCTTGTTACAATTTGACCAAATGGCTACAACTTAGTTCTCATCCTTAGAGGATCATAATTTTAAAATCTGACATGAAATGACGTTGTGTTGTTTGTGGGTTTAGAGGAACAGTGTATTAATACACAACATGGCTCCTTACAGAATGTTGGTGCCATCAACTTCTTCTGTAACTACGATGAGAGCAGAGGGAACTACCTGGTGGACGTGGACGGGAATCGCATGTTGGACATCTATACTCAGATCTCATCCATTCCCATTGGTCAGTAAGAACTCCAACTACAACATCCAGTCAACACACCTTTCTAGATTTCAGAACAAATTCACCTGTTCATACCAGAATTCTGATGCCACGGCTGCAAAAACCATCAGTATCACACAAACACAGAACAACAGGCTGCTGCAGCATGTCACATATTTTAGACAGCTAGGTTTAACCTTTAATGCTTTATTCCAACTAATACAATCACTAAAACAAGAAACTGAATTAAAAACTGTTCAATAAACAACTGAAGCTCTCCCTGGCCCTCCACTGTCTTTCTATTCATTCACAGGGTGTCTGTGCATTCTTAAAAAATCTTAAATTCATGTATGTAAAATGAAGGCCTTAAAATGTCTTTAATTCATTTAAAAATGTGTAAGTTGTTCTTAAATACGTTACTCGAAGGTCTTAAAATTTGTTGGGGAAGGAGGGATCAATGTTCTCAGTCACCAGGACAGATTTCTGTCATCTGTAAAAATGAGGGGGGGGGGGGTATCCATTCTAATGATGATACAGGGATTAAACTGGAGCTGCTTTCAACCAATAAAGAGAAAAAGAGCCACAGTTTTATTTCCAATCAGAGTAGAGCAGGGCGGTTCGTACGGTCTGATACACGGCATGTTTGCACAGCAGAAAGAGGCTGCATGTGAAAGCATCAATCAGCATTTCTCATACAAACCGGATTCCAAAAAAGTTGGGACACTAAACAAATTGTGAATAAAAACTGATTGCAATGATGTGGAGATGGCAAATGTCAATATTTTATTCGTAATATAACATAAATGACAGATCAAAAGTTTAATCTGAGTAAATGTAACATTTTAAAGGAAAAATTTGTTGATTCAAAATTTCACAGTGTCAACAAATCCAACAAATCAAAGTTGGGACAAGTAGCAATAAGTGGCTGGCAAAAGGAAATTGAGCATATAACAAACAGCTGGAAAACTAATTAACACTAATTAGGTCAATTGACAATATGATTGGGTATAAAAAGAGCTTCTCAGAGTGTCAGTGTCTCTCAGAAGGCAAGATGGTAAGAGGATCACCAATTCCACCATTGTTGCGCAGAAAGATAGTGCAGCAATACCAGAATGGTGTTACCCAGCGTAAAATAGCAAATACTTTTAAGTTATCATCATCAACCATGCATAACATCATCAAAAGATTCAGAGAATCTAGAACAATCGCTGTGCGTAAGGGTCAAGGCCGTAAAACTCTACTGGATGCTGGTGATCTCCGGGCCCTTAAACGTCACTGCACCTCATACAGGAATGCCACTGTCAAGGAAATAAAAGAATGGGCTCAGGAATACTTCCAGAAAGCATTGTCAGTGAACACAATCCACCGTGCCATCTGCCGTTGCCCGCTGAAACTCTACAGTGCAAAGAGGAAGCCATTTCTAAGCAAGCTCCACAAGCTCAGACGTTTGCACTGGGCCAGGGGTCATTTAAAATGGAGTGTGGCAAAATGGAAGAGTGTTCTGTGGTCAGATGAGTCACCATTTGAAGTTCTTTATGGAACACTGGGACGCCATGTCATCCGGACCAGAGAGGACAAGGATAGCCCAAGTTGTTATCAACGCTTCGTTCAGAAGCCTGCATCACTGATGGTATGGGGTTGCATGAGTGCTTGTGGCATGGGCAGCTTGCATGTCTGGAAAGGCACCATTAATGCAGAGAACTATGTTCAGGTTCTAGAACAACATATGCTCCCATCTAGACGTCATCTCTTTCAGGGAAGACCCTGCATTTTTCAACACGATAATGCCAGACCACATTCTGCAGCAATCACAACATCATGTCTACGTAGGAGAAGGATCCGGGTACTGAAATGGCCAGCCTGCAGTCCAGATCTTTCACCTATAGAGAACATTTGGTGCATCATAAAGAGGAAGGTGCAACAAAGAAGGCCCAAGACGATTGAACAGTTAGAGGCCAGTATTAGACATGAATGAGAGAGCATTCCTATTTCTAAACTTGAGAAACTGGTCTCCTCTGTCCCCAGACGTCTGTTGAGTGTTGTAAGAAAAAGGGGGGATGCCACACAGTGGTAAAAATGGACTTGTCACAACTTTTTGGGGATTTGTTGACGCCATGAAATTTGGAATTTGAAGTAGGTTGACTGCAGGCACAGTTTCAAGAGTTGACACAGTTGTTCTGTGGAAAGTGTGGTCCTGCTGCTCATATGGGGAGCAATATTATAGGCAGAAACATGGGTGTGCTATGGGGTCTCCAGTTTCTTCTCTTGTTGCCAACCTGTACATGGAGGAGGTAGAAAAGAGAGCCTTGACGTCCTTTTCAGGGACACCACCAATTCATTGGTTCAGGTATGTTGACGACACCTGGGTTAAAATTAAATCTCAGGAAGTCCAACATTTTACTGACCACATCAACTCTGTGGATAAATACATCAAGTTCACACGAGAAGATGTAAAAAATGGCAGGTTGGCTTTCTTGGACTGTGAGGTCTCAGTCTCTGATAGAGGACTTTTGCAAACTGAGGTGTACCGCAAACCCACCCACACAGACCAGTATTTGCAGTTTGACTCCCATCACCCTTTGGAGCACAAGTTAGGAGTCATCAGGACTCTGTATCACAGAGCAGACAGCGTCCCCACTAGCTCAGGAGCCAGGCAGAAGGAGAAATCCCACACAAGACAGGCTCTAGAGCAATGTGGATATCCTAACTGGGCCTTCCTGAAAGCAGAGAAGAAACCCAAACAGGACTCCAGTCAGCCATCAGGTGAAAAGGAGGAACCCAGACCCAGACCAGTGGTCATTCCGTATGTTGAGGGGGTATCAGAGAAACTGAGACGTTTATTTTCTAAACATAACGTCCCAGTGGCTTTTAAACCCCAAAATACATTACGGCAAAGACTGGTTCATCCCAAAGATCCAGTCCCCCGTCACAAACAGAGTAATGTTGTGTATGTTGTTCAGTGTCAGGAGGGCTGTGATCAGTCTTACATCGGGGAAACTAAACAGCCACTGGCCAAAAGGATGGCCCAGCACAGAAGATCAACATCATCAGGCCAGGACTCTGAGGTCTACACTCATCTCCAGGCCAGCGGTCACTCTTTCAGGGATGAAGATGTTCACATCCTGGACAGAGAGGAACGATGGTTTGAGAGAGGAGTAAAGGAGGCCATCTTTGTGAAAAGAAACCGTCCATCATTAAACAGGGGTGGAGCCTCCGGGTTCAACTGTCCCCCTCTTACAATGCTGTGATTGCTAGTATCATTCAGCCCTCTGTGAATAGTAAACAGCCATCAGGTGCTAATGATCCATTGTTAGGCTGATGGTCCTTCTTGAGCATGTGATCAGCTGGTTTTGGTTGTCAGCAGCAAACTGGTTGATCCACTCTGTGAAGGTGCTATTTAAGAGACTGAGCTGAATACAGCACCTCAGACTGAGGAAGTCTCTTGGATGAGAGACGAAACGTTTCTACATTTTTTTGTTGATTTGCTTTGTTTTGTTTTTTTTGAATGTCTAGAGGACCAGATTTAACTTTTTTAGATTTTTCTACCTGGATTATTGAGCATGCATCAGGATATTTTTTTTTTTTTTGGTCCTAAAATTCATTCAAGGTGACATTAAAAAGGTTTTAAAAATTCTTAAATTTGACTTGATGAAAACTGCACATACCCTGCATTCATTTTCCTTTATTTAACCAGATATCAATTTCATTGAAACCTGAATATGAAATCTCATTTAGCTGCAAGTAAATCTGAGGAAATGAAAGAAAACAAGAAATTATTTCATGAAACACTCAGAGCTGCATGAGTGGGAAGCTGAAACTGGCTTGTTAAAGCTGAAAGAACAGAACACAAGCTAAAAGGAGCCAAACACTATCTAAAAGCCTAATGTTGCAAAATGCTAGCTAAAAGCTGAGTGACAAAAGGCTAGCTAAAAGTTAAAGTAGCAAAATGCTGCCCATGGTGGTGTCCTGGGTCACAGAGCCCAGTGACTCCCCAACCATCAGGAGTTTACACACTATTGCTGGAGTTGGTTTAAAGGTTTAAACTGAAGACATCGTGAAACTGGACAAGAAAAAATTATGTGTCCTGTTATGGGTCATTTTCCATAGTTTTCCCTAGTCTAAAAAAAGTCTGACTCTCAGAGCTATTGTTTTGGTGCATGAACATAATGTAATGTTTTGTGTGCAGTGTATGTGCATTTCAGTTATTTCTGCCCAAAGAAACCACTGCCTGGCTTTACAGGAACAAAATTAAGCCAGTTTCTTTTTGTGGAAAGGCTGTTTAAAAGTATGATCTGATGGATAATAAACATGTGTCTTCTATTAATTTTTTTACATTTTGTATTTTGTTAGGTTACAACCACCCTGCTCTCCTCAAGCTAATGACCAACCCCAATAATCTGGTAGGTTCACACACTATCAGTAACCTCAAGGTATCCGGTAACCTCTAATCAATCAGAAAAACAGGAATCATTCAGTAACCCCGTGCCATTTGGTAACCCAGAGTCGTCCTATAGCCTTGAGTCATCCCCTGACTTGAGGCGATCTCAAGTCTTCCAATGGCTTAGTCATTTGATGACCCCGAGCCATCAGGTGACCTTGTGCCCTCAGGTAGTCTGAAGTGTCCTATATCATCAGCATACAGAAATAGTCTGTAAACTGATGTACGTTTAACATGTTGGATTTTATGATTTTAATGTCAGTCCTGTGTTGTCACACAATTTTAACTGAACATATGGAAATATGTTCTCATATAAATACATTAAATTGATGTACCATACAGTCTTGACATCACAGGATGTTTTTTCCTAGAACATATGACTTTATAAGTTGATACTCTAAATCTAGGCATGGAGTTTACCAAAATGTTATTTTCCTAAGTTGACATAAACCACTTGAAGCTGACATTTAAAGAAAGAACAGGAAAACTAGATGGTCCTTAACAAAATAAATAACTTGAGGCCACATTCAAATGACTATGCAAAAAAGACTCCATGGTAAATTTGTTTGTATAAAATATGTACTCTACTTTAAATGGTGGTCTCTGTGGATTCTCTGATCTGTTTGTGTTCTCTTCAGAGCGCATTTGTGAACCGACCAGCGCTGGGAATCCTGCCACCTGAGAATTTCCCTGATAAAATCACAGAAAGTCTCCTCTCAGTTAGTAACAAACCCACACTCTAACACCCAGGATCTTAGTAGTCGGACCTTACTTGGTTGAATAGATACAACTAGTTTCACTCATTGCCTTCCACCAGGTGACTCCCAGTGGGATGAGTCGTGTTCAGACGATGACCTGTGGCTCCTGCTCCAATGAGAACGCCTACAAAGCAATGTTCATCTGGTACAAGGTGAGTGTGGACATCCTCAGGTTTCTCAAGGGGCTGGATATAATACTGAAACGGGTTAAATTATGAAAACGATTTGTGAAACGGTGTGTACAGAGCAGTGCATTACTTTGTACATCTGAGTGTAGATCAGGTAACATCAAACTCATTCTCTGACATGCCTCAATTCACAAAAAGCTACAAAACTGGGCCAGAACAGAAAAAATCCTACATTGAAGACATGAGAAGAATAGCCTGTAGATGTATTTACTGGTTTCAATGAAACTGCATGTTCACTTGAGGGACCTAGGTTAAAATGTTTGATTTCTTATTAAACAAACAGTGAATAAATGCTACTATGAAGCCACAGAAGTATACATTCATACAACTTTCACTTTTAGCTTGTGTTTAGTCCAACGTTGGTCTAGACTCAAACGTAAGAGCTCTGAGATAAATATCAAATTTAAAAAGTAATCAATGGATGGATGGTATCCCTGGATGGGTGCTGAGAGTGTATGCTGACCAACTCACCAAGGTGTTTACAAACATCTTTAACCCGTCTCTGAGTCGGTGCATTGTGCCCACCATCTTCAAGACCTCGACTGTTGTCCTCATCCCAAAGACCTCTGCAGCATCCTGCCTTAATGGCTTTAGGCCCATAGCACTCACATCTGTCATCATGAAGTGCTTTGAGCAAATGATCAAAACTCACATCTGTGTCTCCCTCCCTGACACCCTGGACCCCGTACAGTTCACATACAGAGCAAACGGGTCTACAGATGATGCCGTTGCTTTAGCAATTCACACCATCTCAGCCATCTGGAGAAGGAAAACACCTATGTGAGAATGTTCTTCATTGACTACAGCTCAGCATTCAACACCATAATCCCCTCCAAACTGGTTTCCAAGCTCTGGACCTGGAGAAGTCCATCTGCTGCTGGATACTGGACTTCCTCACTAACAGACCACAGGCAGTGAAAATCAGCAGTCACCTCTCTTCAACACTAGTCCTCAGCACCAGTACACCTCAAGGTTGTGTCCTCAGTCCACTCACTATTTACATATGACTGTACCCCCAAGCACAGCTCTAACGTCGTCCTCAAGTATGCTGATGACACCACCATCTTTTTTTTTTTTCATTCGTTCAGCCTTTATTTAGACAGGTTAATCCCATTGAGCCTCGAGGACTCATTTACAAAAGACCTGATTTCAACAAAGAATGATGACAACAATGGACAACAGCGACAACAATAAACAGTTATAAAAAGTCATACAAATTGTTATTTTTTTACAAATAGGATGGCAAAAAAAAAGAAAAGTAACAAGAATCTTGGGCCTCATCACCAACAACGATGAGTGTGCCTACAGAGATGAAGTGAAATCACTGACCAGTTGGTGTCAGGAAAATAACCTCTCTCTAAATGTCAGCAAAACAAAGGAGATGATAGTGGACTTCAGGAAACAGGGTGGAGGTCAGCACTCCACCATCTACATAAACAACACTGAGGTGAAGCAGTTCAGCAGCTTCAAGTTCCTCTGCATTCACGTTACTGAGGCTCTGTCCTGGACTTTACACAAACACTGTGGTCAAAAAAGCCCAACAAAGACTCTACTTCCTATGAAGACTAAAGTAGTTTGGTACAAACACCAGCATCCTCACCAACTTTTATATTTGCACCACTGAGAGCCTGCTGGCAGGCTGCATCACAGGGTGGTACAGGAACTGTATCAGTTAGAGCTGGAAAGTTCTACAGAGGGTGGTGCAAACAGCAGAGGACATCACTGGTAGCAGTCTCCACACCATCCAGGACATCTACCACAGCCGATGTCTGCGTAAAGCATACAGCATCATTAAAGACCACACCCACCCAGCACAAGGACTATTCCATCTAGTACCTTCAGGCAGATGATACAAGAGTCTGCCATCACGTACAAATGACTCAAAGACAGTTATTATCCATAAGCTGTCAGATTACTGAACTCTTGATTAATAACACTGAACAACTGGCAATAACTTTGCACCAAGCCACAGCTGTGACAACTAATATGACTAATATTAGCTTGTGATACCTAATATTTTTATTGCTAATGCATTATGTGGCTGTATCATGTATGTACCTTACCATCATAATTCATCTCAATGTTACTCACTACCTGTGCAATAATCTGTCACACAACCTGTGTAGTTTATGTTAGTTATGTGCAGTATACCTCATGTGAATTTAAACTTATATTACTACCTTGAAATACTTCATCCATCCATCTATTTTCTTTACCCGCTTTTTCCATTTTTGGGTCATGGGGGGTCGCTGGTGCCCATGTCCAACAATCACTGTGTGAGGGGCGGGGGACACCCTGGACGGGTCTCCAGTCCATCACAGGGACACATAGAGACAAATGAGACAAACAACCATTCACTCTCTCACTCACACCTAGGGACAATTTAGAGTTACCATCAGTCTAACATGCATGTTTTTGGTCTGTGGGAGGAAACCGGAGTACCCGGAGAAAACCCACGCAGCACGGAGAGAACATGCAAACTCCACCCAGAAAGGCCCCTGGACCGGGGTTTGAACCGGAGACCTGCTCGCTGAGAGGCAGCAGCTCTACCAGTTGTGCCGCCGTGCTGCCCTTGAAATACTTATTCATACTAATTCATCCTGCTTGTACTGTTAAAATTCCATCAAGTTATTGATTACTATTTTCTATTTAGGACGTTGTAAATATTATAATTACTTTTTCACTTTTTGATACTTTATTTTTGTACCCTTATTGCATGCTTTAGTATTTATTCTTTGTTTGTTCTTTGTTTTTTTAGCGAGTCAAATTGGTTCTTCTCATCCTGAGCATTTCATTGTATTGTTAACCTTGTGTTAACCTTGTGTTAACCTTGTGTTAACCTTGTGTTAACCTTGTGTTAACCTTGTGTTAACCTTGTGTTAACCTTGTGTTAACCTTGTGTTAAACTTGCATATGACAAATAAACAACTTGGATGTACATCGCCAACTGACAGCCATTCAAGATGGCTGCCACAGCCAATCGCTGTTAACTGACACATAAAGGACTTTACCTCATTCAGTTTTACAGAGATTGAGCTAAACTTTCACTTGGCAATAGCTAAGAGTCCTTCACAGCTAATACTTTGAAGCTTCACATACCAAGCTAGATAACATTATCTTGACGTGTTGTCCAACATGGATATAATGTTATTACAGTAATTCTCATCATGAACTTCTTGGTAATTCAGATAACATTTATAAATAAGCTCCTTAGTCTTTCACTTTTCTTAGACATGAAAACAGAGAAAACTTTTAAAAAGCACCATAGATGTCAGATCAATGTGTTTGTGTTGTAGAACAAGGAGCGAGGCTACAGCACACCTTCTGAAGCAGACCTGCGCACCTGCATGATAAACCAGGTGAGACCTGAATCATCACAGTCCTCCAGTCTGATCCACCGTGACCGATCTAAACTTCCTGTCCTCTCTGTTAGGCTCCAGGTTGTCCAGATCTCAGCATTTTGTCTTTTATGGGAGGTTTTCATGGAAGAACAATGGGTATGTTTCACCTAGATGAAGGGATTCTGTTGTTCTCTGTAAATCCTCTCAGTGTCAGTCTGGTTGAATGGGGGCTGTTAGTGGGGCCATTATCTCCAGACTTGTTGCAAGTGTTAACACTGGCCAAATCCTTGTGTCAAATGTCTTCTGTGTGAGAATCATGATGTCATGTCATCATCAGCTGATTCTTGTGGCATCGTAAAATCTGTCGGATCAAAAGTGAGTATTACAGGAACCGTGATTCTGATCATGTGTTTGACCACATCAAGGTTGCTTGGCAACAACACACTCTAAAGTCATCCACAAACTAGACGTGCCGTCATTTGATTGGCCCATCGCCCCATTCCCCCGACTGCAGTACCCCCTGGAGGAGTTCAGCAGGGAGAACGCTCAGGAGGAGGCACGCTGCCTGGAGGAGGTAGGTTTTGGCTGTGTGTTCAAGCAGGGGACTGGAGGACGTCTGTGTCTCAAATGTCCTGTGTCCAGGTGGAGGACCTGATAGTGAAGTGGAGGCAGAAGGGGAAACCTGTAGCAGGAGTTGTTATAGAACCCATCCAGGCTGAAGGAGGAGACAACCACGCCTCCCCAAACTTCTTCAGGGAACTCCGCAACATCGCTCGCAAGGTACTGTAACCTGGGCCCGCAGGGACCATCTGATCGTTGCTGTGGAGCAACAAAAATCCAGCCAGCTGATTGGTGCTAAACACCTGTGACATTCAATCAACCTTTATTTAGACAGGTAGATCCCATTGAGCCTCGAGGACTCATTTACAAGAGAGACCTGATTTCAACAAAGAAAGATGACAACAATGGACAACAGCAACAACAATAAACAGTTATAAAAAAGCATACTACAGGTTTTTTTTTTTTTACAAATAGGATGGCTAAAAGGAAAAGGTAACAAAACAAAAAACCAGCTAGATTCTAAGACAAATGTAGAAAACTAAAAACAGGAACATGTCTGCATTGGTCCCTGCCAGGAGTCCAACAGATTCTTAAAGCCACTTAGAGAGGTCAAAGGTCGAGAGCTTCAAATCTTTTTACAAGATATTCCAGGAAACAGGAGCGGAGTAGGAGAAGGTTCTTTTGTCTAGTTCAGTCCTCACTGAGGGAACACTGGCCTTCCTGTGAGGCCTGGTTAGGTGGGCTTCACTTGGTGAGGACAGTCCATCTGAGAAGGTTTAACTGAGCAGCTTGGATTGATAAGCAACAGGAAACATGTACAGGAAGTGTGGAGGCTGCATGTTCAAGTTCAAGTTCATTGTTATTTACATCACATGGTACATGAGGTGGAAAGAAATTGTGTACTCAAGGTCCCAGTTACATCCTAAACTAGCAAAGATATAAAGTATAAAAGAGACAGTATATAAGGATTTAAATAAATGCAAACTAAATGCTAAACAATATACTAAAAGATCTAAGATACATGCTAAACACTAATAATGTAAAATAATACAGTATATTAAACAGCAGCCCGAACATGAGTCTGTAGTGAGCAGATGGGTATGAATGAATAAAGCAGCACAAGATAATCAGCAGCATGGATAATCAGCAACATGGATAATCAGCAGCATGGATAATCAGCAGCATGGATAATCAGCAGCACAGATATCAAAGTCAAAGTTTCTTAATTTGTCATACGCACCACATGTGGTACATGTGGTGGAACGACATTGTGTACACAGGGTCCCAGTTACATCCAACAAAAGTATAAAATGTAAAAGAAAAACTAATAAGATCTAAGACATGAATTGAGAAAAACATCAACTAAAAATACACTAAGCACTAATGGCATTAAACAATACGCTGAAGAACAGCAGCACGAACATGAGTCTGTGCCAGCAGTTGAGTACAAATGAACAAATCAACATGAAACAAATTCAATTCAATTCAGTTTATTTCTATAGCGCCATATCACAACAAAGTTGTCTCCAGGCACTTTACAGGAACATTCACATACACAGAAAATCCAATTAGTAAAGTTCTCTATCTAAGGAAGCAGCAGACTCGAATCTTGACTTTGATGCGGTCTCCCACCCTGAGCAAGCACAGTGGCAACAGTGGAAAGGAAAAACTCCTTTCAGCAACATGATGTGATTTTTCACAGTGATTATTCTGGTTAGAGATTCATGAGTCTAACAGCCTCAGGGTAGAAGCTGTTCCTCAGTCTAGTGGTTCTACACTTAATGCTCCTCAACCTCCTTCCTGAGGGGAGCGGGACAAAAAGTGTGTGCTGGATGAGTGGGGTCTTTCATGATGCACATACCTGCAAACTTGTTGCTTTTCAGCAAAATTCACCAATTTCAAACTAAAATATGTCATTGGCTAGACCTTCTCTCACAACAGATATCAATGGAAAAACAATCAGCAATATATAAAAATAAAATCGAATATTTCAATAAAACTTACTCCATAATTCTTCCATCCATCCATCCATTTTCTTCTGCTTATCCGGGGTCGGGTCGCAGGGTAGCAGCTTAAGTAGGGAGGCCCAGACTTCCCTCTCCCCAGCCACTTGGGCCAGCTCTTCTGGAGGAATCCCGAGGTGTTCCCAGGCCAGCTGAGAAACATAGTCCCTCCAGCGTGTCCTGGGTCTTCCTCTGGGCCTCCTTCCAGTGGGACGTGTCCGGAACACCTCACCAGGGAGGCGTCCAGGAGGCATCCTAAACAGACCTCAACTGGCTCCTCTCGACGTGGAGAAGCAGCGTCTCTACTCTGAGTCCCTCCCGGATGATCGAGCTTCTCACCCTGTCTCTAAGGGAGAGCCCAGACACCCTGCGGAGAAAACTCATTTCGGCCGCATGTATCCCAGATCTCATTCTTTCGGTCACAACCCAAAGCTCGTGACCATAGATGAGGGTGGGAACGTAGATCAACCGGTAAATTGAGAGCTTCGCCTTTTGACTCAGCTCTCTCTTCACCACGACAGACCTGTACAGCGCCTGCTTCACTGCAGATGCTGCACCTATCCGCCTATCGATCTCACGCTCCATTTTTCCCTCATTCGTGAACAAGACCCCAAGATACTTGAACTCCTCCACTTGGGGTAGGACCTCCTCCCTGACCCAGAGAGGGCACTCTACCCTTTTCCGGCTCAAGACCATGGCCTCGGATTTGGAGGGACTGATCTTCATCCCGGCCGCGTCGCATAATTCCTCCATAATTCTTGATACCAGTCATTGCTGGTGAGTTGGTACCACTGTGGAACCAAAGACCGGGGGGAGAACTTAATAATAAGATTATGTAAAGTGTCTCTTAGAGTTGCAGCCCTCAGTCCTAAATTCTTGAACCCTCAGTCCTACATTCTTGACTTTCTTCTTCTCCCTCTGTTTCCTGACATGCTTTCCTCATTGTGGTCTACAACTAACAGTAGCACAATTTGCACAGGCATCCTGTTTGTCAACAGCAACAGTGGTGGTCGTTGTTAACCCGGGCCTCGACCGATCCAGTATGGTTTCGCTTTAATGAACTCGCATTATAGTTTTGGCAAAAGTGTTTTACGTCAAATGCCTTTCCTGACACAACCCTCACCATTTACGCAGACTTGGGACCAGTACAAGAAATACAATGGCTTGTGCTCTCCAGTGGCTGGTTTATTCAAGGATTCAAGTTTCTTTATTTGTCATATGCACCACATGTGGCACATGAGGTGGAACAAAATTGTGTACACAGGGTCCCAGTTACATCAAATAAAAGTATAAAATGTAAAAGAAAACCAGTTTTAAGATCTAAGATATGAACGGGTTGAAACTAAAAAAAGGACAAACAGTACAGTTAAAATGTGAATATTTACAGCATAAAATGCACTTTTATAGTGAAACTGAAAGCAAGAACAAACAACACAACCAAAATGCACATATGTGCAGCCTAAAATGCATTTTTATACGGGATTTCTGCTGAATAACATCCTAAATATTTCTATATGAATGAACCTACATTACCAACGCCATTTTGGATAACTGCGCAAATCACGGGTAATTTGCATAACAAAGAAAAACCCATTTCACAGTCAATGCATTAGTGGGCTATATTTAGCACAAAAACAAAGTTACAAAACTAATGTACATGCCGGCAATACAACCCCAAACGAAAGATACATGCAGTAATCTTCCTTCAACAAGACAGTGAAATGGTTGACGACGTCACTTGTTACAATGGCCGTCTTGTCTAACTGCCACCACTTTTCAACAAAGTTTTGGTTCAAATAAAAAAAACCGGTTGTCAAGTTGCAACACCCAAAACAAACACATGAGGACAGTCTTTCCCTTTTTTTGTCCTACATGGATGAAATGTGTTTCTGAAAGCACAACATTTACAACCACATAACAGAACACTCTCCCTCTTCCCATCAGACAGTGCCTTCACTGTCCATTTTTAAAACTCTTCTTTTACTCCCTGGCTTTTAGCACAGACGGAATTTGCTCTGCACAGTTTTTATTGTTTTTATTGATCTTAATGTTTTAACAACTTTTATTTTTATGTGTAGACATTTTCTTGATTTTATATGTACAGCACTTTGTTGCAGCTGTGGTTGTTTTAAAGGGCTTTATAAATAAGGTATTTTTATTATTTTAAAAAGAACAACTAAAAATACACTAAGCACTAATAGTACAAAAACAATACGCCGGACAGCAGCACAAACATGAGGCTGTGTGAGCAGATGAGCACGCATGAACACATCAACATGAAACAGATCAGCAGCATCATGAAACAGATCAGCAGCAACACGAAACAGATCAGCAGCAACACGAAACAGAAAATACAGCAGCAACACGAAACAGATCAGCAGCAACATGAAACAGATCAGCAGCAACATGATATGGTTTTTCACAGTGATTATCCTGGTTACAGATTCATGAGTCTAACAGCCTCAGGGTAGAAGCTGTTCCTCAGTCTAGTGGTTCTACACTTAATGCTCCTCAACCTCCTTCCTGAGGGGAGTGGGGCAAAAAGTGTGTATTGTACGCTAAACACTAATAACTCAAAATAATACGGTATGTTAAACAGCAGCCTGAACATGAGTCTGTAGTGAATGTGTTAACCTTTGTCTCCCAGCATGGCGCTGCGTTTCACGTGGATGAAGTTCAGACTGGTGGAGGGTGCACCGGGAAGTTCTGGGCCCACGAGCACTGGGCCATGGATGACCCCGCTGATATTGTATCGTTCAGCAAAAAGCTTCTGACTGGAGGCTACTTCTACAGGGATGAGCTGCAGGCTGATAAGGTTTGTGTCCATGCTGTGTATATGTCTGCTTGTTAGCAAAATATCTCCTGAACTACTGGACAGAATATCCTGATGCATGCTCAATAATCCAGGTAGAAAAATCTAAAAAAGTTAAATCTGGTCCTCTGGACATTCAAAAAAAAACAAAACAAAGCAAATCAACAAAAAAATGTAGAAACGTTTCGTCTCTCATCCGAGAGACTTCCTCAGTCTGAGGTGCTGTTTTCAGCTCAGTCTCTTAAATAGCACCTTCTCAGAGTGGATCAACCAGTTTGCTGCTGACAACCAAAACCAGCTGATCACATGCTCAAGAAGGACCATCAGCCTAACAATGGATCATTAGCACCTGATGGCTGTTTACTACTCACAGAGGGCTGAGTGATACTAGCAATCACAGCATTGTAAGAGGGGGACAGTTGAACCCGGAGGCTCCGCCCCTGTTTAATGATGGACGATTTCTTTTCACAAAGATGGCCTCCTTTACTCCTCTCTCAAACCATCGTTCCTCTCTGTCCAGGATGTGAACATCTTCATCCCTGAAAGAGTGACCGCTGGCCTGGAGATGAGTGTAGACCTCAGAGTCCTGGCCTGATGATGTTGCTCTCAAAGATCTTCCATCATTAAACAGGGGCGGAGCCTCCAGGTTCAACTGTCCCCCTCTTACAATGCTGTGATTGCTAGTATCACTCAGCCCTCTGTGAACAGTAAACAGCCATCAGGTGCTAATGATCCATTGTTAGGCTGATGGTCCTTCTTGAGCATATGATCAGCCGGTTTTGGTTGTCAGCAGCAAACTGGTTGATCCACTCTGAGAAGGTGCTATTTAAGAGACTGAGCTGAAAACAGCACCTCAGACTGAGGAAGTCTCTCGGATGAAAGACAAAACGTTTCTACATTTTTTTTGTTTGTTGTTGTTTTGCCTTGTTTTTTTTGAATGTCCAGAGTAGAGGATGACACAAGAGTGGATTTTCACTCCTGCTCCTGTTTTTCCATTTAATTTTTAGGAAATACATTGAATTTGATTTGATCTTCTACCCATTCCTGTTTAAATTACTTTGTGTTATGCAGTTTTATTTCAAAAGATATGTCAACAGGAACAGTTCATCTGTGGTGAAATAGAGACATTTATTGTCTTAATTCAAACAAAAACCTTCACTAAATGTCATAAAACAATAATCCATGGCCTGTAGTCCATATAATGTTTCTACAGAGGATCAGCTGCTGAGTCTGTTTCTGGCTCTTTTGAAGGTCAGTTCCAGTAAAAACAAAAAATCAAACCAGTCCATGGGTCACACCATGTCTACCTTAGATGAAAGAACCCAAACATAACAAGTTGCATTTTATTAATTTATTGAGCAGTTGTTTCCTTTAAACTGTGACATTACTGTCATGTTTTAAATTGTTTAAACAAAAAAAAAAAGAAAAATAATGTACCGAGCAGAGAACTCAACAAATAAAAATGTTTAAAGGCGTTATTATACACTGGACGACGTCCTCCAGAAGTTCTGTGTATGTGGTCGAGGTAACGAGCTCGTTTGGGTGAAGCATGATGTCGTGCATCTTCCCAGACTTCAAAGCATCATTTACAGACTGGACCATTGCAGGTCTGGTGTTCCACCTCATCTCTCCACAGCTGGACCAGTCCAGAGCCTTGTGGAACCTAAAAGTGAAAGAAGACGTGCACGAGTCAAAATAGTGTCACAGTGACTACAAATTACAATCTGTTGGTCTTTCTTTTGGAAAAAATATTTTATCAAAAACAAGAGATTTACAATTAGAAACTAAGTAAAAAAAAAAAGTTACATTTGCAATTATAAATTACAGAAGCTCAATTTTTCTTTATTTCACTTATCATATTTTATATTTATTTAATCAGCCTCACCAGGCAGAGATTATAAGATGTTATGTATCTTACCTGCTCTTTTGAAGTGTGTGACAAGGGTCTTTGTGTCCAAAGCTGTTTAACAGTTTGCTTCCAGAGCTAACAGCTTCCTGTGTTAGGTAGACAAATTAAATTAAATTAAAGACAAATAAAAATCTTAGTGCTACTTCTTGTGCCATGCTTTATGAAACAGTTATTGAATAAAGTATTTACTTATATAGGTAAACATTGATGTTTTAAAACCTGTTAAAATACACCAGAATGCAGAAAATAGCAGCTACTTTATTCAAAAAGTTATGGGGGGAACCCACAGACCTCGCACCAATATATCCCCCTTACAATAACAGTTATTATAATATATATGCAACCAGCCTTTCATATAAAAACTGGGATATTTTTACCGGAGAATGCTTTCACTAACGAGTTTGTTGTTGTACTTATCGTAATGATGGTTGGAGAGGGGTAAACCCAGGGGTGCAGGCAGACAATCCAGGACTCAGGAGATGAATAAAATAATTTATTAATAGTAACAAAACAACAGCTGACGGGGCAGCAAACTTACATAATTTGTGGGAAACTCAGAGGACCAAGGTGACAGGAAGCAATGCCAGGACAAAGGACTAACACAAAGACACAGACTTATATACAGTGACAAACGAGACAAAACATCTGTGAGGACACACAGCTGAACCACATCAGGGAATATGACAAACCAGGAAGCCAGGGAGTGCAGGAACAGACACACAACACTAGATGGAAGCATACACCAAGAAAACACAAATCCTATAGAAAAACAGAAACTGAGAAGAAGGACATAAGACAAAAAACACAACACAAATGGGGCTAAACCCATGAAACAGACCAATCCTTACAGCACCTCCCTCTTAAAGGACATCTCCAGACATCCTCCAGAAATCTACTCCCCAAAAACTTGGGTGGGAGGAGGGGGGAAACAGGATGGAGGGCACAAGGGAACACAAGAGGGGGACTAGGTACACACAAAAGAAAATGCACAAAAACTCCAGGCACCCGACTGGAAGACCATCCATCTTGCTGGAGCAGTTCAAACGAAGGGCCATGGGGAGGCAAAGGGCCCAGGCGAGGCGTGGGGCCAAAGCGAAGCGTGGGGCCAAGGCGAGGCGGGGGGCCAAGGTGAGGCGTGGGGGCCATGGCGAGGCGTGGGACCATGGCGAGGCGAGGGGCCATGGCGAGGGGCCTGGACAAGACGAGGCGAGGGGCCAAGGCGATGCGAAGGGCCATGGCGAGGTGCCTGGACGAGGCGAGGGGCCAAGGCGATGCGAAGGGCCATAGCGAGGTGCCTGGATGAGGTGATGCGAAGGGCCAAGGCGATGCACCTGGACAAGATGATGAACCAAGGCGAGGTGAAGAGACCACTGGTGCTGCAGGAGACAAAGAGACCACTGGTGCCGCAGAAGACAAAGAGACCACTGGGGCCGCAGGAGACAAAGAGACCACTGGTGCCGCAGAAGACAAAGAGACCACTGGGGCCGCAGGAGATGAAGGGACCACTGGGGCCGCAGGAGATGAAGGGACCACTGGGGCCGCAGGAGGCGTAGAGACCACTGGGGCCGCAGGAGGCGTAGAGACCACTGGGGCCGCAGGAGGCGTAGAGACCACTGTGGCCACAGGAGGCATAGAGACCACTGGGACCGCAGGAGGCGTAGAGACCTCTGGGACCGTAGGAGGCGTAGAGACCTCTGGGACCGCAGGAGGTGTAGAGACCTCTGGGACCGCAGGAGGCATAGAGACCTCTGAGACCGCAGGAGGCGTAAAGACCTCTGCGACCGCAGGAGGCGTAAAGACCTCTGGGACCACAGGAGACGTAGAGACCTCTGGAGACGTAGAGACCTCTGGAGACGTAGAAAACTCTGGAGACGTAGAAAACTGGAGATGTAGAAAACTCTGGAGACGTAGAGACCTCTGGAGACATCGAGGTGTCTGCGGACCTGGGACCCTCTGTGGATGTCAAGGCGTCGGCTGACCTGGGACCCTCTGTGGATGTCGATGCATCGGCGGACCTGGGAACCTCTCTGGACGTCGAGGCGTCGGCAGACCTGGGAACCTCTGTGGACATCAAGGCCACTGAAGACGCTGGAGACACTGGAGACATGTGTGCAGGCTCGGGGCTCTCTGTAGGCAAGCAGGGGTTCAGGTAAAGTCCCACCTTAGAAATTCTCCCCAGCTCCTCAGACTGATTTTGTGGGGACTCGGATGGTGGAAGGAACTGGATTTCAGCCGTTCTGATCCTTTTCTGCCCTCGACCTCTACGCCAGCGGGGGTGTGAACAAGGATCAGAAGCGAGCCCAAGCTCCTCTTTGGGTTCAATGTCACCCTCAGACGTCTGGAACAGGGACCTGGGTGTCTGTGTGAGGTGACTCTCCCCGAGTTGTTCCCTCCTTTCTTCTTCTTCCACTAGGAGGGGCGATGGAAGGATCTCCAGCTCAGGGCTACAACTTTGCTGCCTCTGAACAGGTTTGGTCTGGAACCCGTTCTACTTGATGATGGGCTCTTCTTGAACAAAGGCATGGAGAGGCACAGATCCTCCAGGTGACTCACATGAAGGGCTGGAACAGTAAGTGGACCAAGCAGCTGACTGTAGGCGGCCGGACTCCAGCCTGCTCCTCTCTCTCAGTAGTTTGTCCAAAAACTCCATCATGCCCGGAGAGTCACACAGTCCAGGGAGACAAAAATACTCATTAATCATATCCTCTGTGACCATCCACCTTTCCTCCAGATCATTGGAGGTAGCAACAGTGTCCCCATATTTTTGGATAGTCTTCTCCAAAAGCTGGTAGTCCTCATCTGAAAGATTTGCCATTAACTGGCTGGCTGCTGGGTTTATGTTTGGTCCTGGCATTCTATCATAATGATGGTTGGTGAGTGGTAAACCCAGGGGTGCAGGCAGACAATCCAGGACTCAGGAGTTGAATAAAACAATTTATTAATAGTAACAAAACAACAGCTGACGGGGCAGCAAACTTACATAATTTGTGGAAAACGCAGAGGACCAAGGTGACAGGAAGCAATGCCAGGACGAAGGACTAACACAGAGACACAGACTTGTATACAGTGACTAACGAGACAAAACACCTGTGAG